GAATCCAGTCAGGAAACAGAGACCACACCAGGTTTTTGTTATTTTTTTGTAGGGAGAATAGTTGACTAGGAATAACAAGTTATTAACTGTCATCAAAAAGGCCAAAAACACAACATTAAAGCAAGGAAACAACTACTGCAGCTACACCCCAAATGCTGGAGAAACAAAGGGAAGAGGGTGGGATTATTAGAACTTGGAGGTTTTAAAGGCAAGCACCCACACAGCTGATGCTGGAGAAGGGAGTGCCGTTGGGCCGGTGCCGGTGTCTCTGAGCTTAGAGACAGGGCCCCGCGTGGCTGGGACCTGGCCCCTTGAGCGGTGACCCTGGTCAGTACCTCTGAGGTGTGGGGGCACAATAAAGCTGCTTCTGCAAAGATCAGAACAACTGCAAACCGGATTCATCTGCTGCTACTGCAAGGAACTGCCCCTTCCAAGGTTGGCAAGGCAGGCTAAGGTGAGGCTGACAGAACCGGAAGCAGGCTGGCAGGAGCAAGGCTCTTCAGAATACTCACAGAGAATGGCCACAGTGTCATTTACTCTCATCCTTTTGTTTTTGTTTTGCTGAAATGAGAACATGACCCACCAAAATGACCAAAATGAAAAAGAAGAAAATACTAAGTACTGTTGTAGACGCAGAACAACTAGACTCTCATACATGGCTGATGGAATGTACGCTGGACAACCCTTTTTAGAAAATGGTCTGGTAATATCTACTAAAGTTGAGCATACACCACACCCTATCACCCAAAGATTCCGCCCCTGTGTGCACACATCCTGTATGATTCCATTTATACGATGTCCAACAGGAAGTGAATAAAACCTGTGCTCTTAGCAGTCAGGAGAGTAGTTACTTTGGGGGTTGGGAACGAGGTGGGAGCAAGAGGGAAGCTTCTAGCATGTTCTGCGTCTTGATCTGGGTGCTGATTCCATAGGTGTAACCAAGTTATAAAAAAATTATCAAAATTCATCAGGCTGCACACTTTTATATATGTATACTTTTATATGTTATACTTGAATACAAGTTAAATGTGACTCCATTCCACTTCTGGGTATATACCCAAAAGAAATGAAAGCAAGAACTCAGACATTTGTACACTTATGTTCATGGCAGCATTATTCACAAAAGCCGAAAGGTGGAAGCAACTCTAGTGTGCATCAGTGGATGAATGGATAAACAAAAGGTTGTGTATACATACATGGAATATCATTCATCCTGAAAAAGGTCGGAAATTCAGACACATGCTATAACACGGATGAACCTTGAAGACATTATGCTAAGTATTTGCCCGTCTCAAAAAAGGACAAATTCTGTGTGATTCCACTTATATGAGGTACTTAGAGTAGCCAATCTCATAGAGACAGAGAGTAGAGTGGGGGTTGCCAGGGTCTACGGGGAGGGGACAATGGATAGTTAATAGATACAGAGTTTCAGTTTTACAAAATGAAGAGTTCTGTGGATGATGGTGATGGTAGCATAAGAATGTCAATGTACTTAATACTACATATGAGTAAAAATTAAGATACTAAAATTTATGTTATGTGTAACAAAAATTAAAAGTTTAATTTTTAATTTCAAAAAAGTTGAGTTCTGTGGATGATGGTGATGGTAGCATAAGAATGTCAATGTACTTAATACTACATATGAGTAAAAATTAAGATATTAAAATTTATGTTATGTGTAACAAAAATTAAAAGTTTAATTTTTAATTTCAAAAAAGTTGAATGTGACTCTAATATATACCCTCCAAGTAAATGCATCCTAATGAAATTATTGACTTACTTCTGGAGGATATTCCAGAATTTTCACTCCTCTTCATGGGCTACTCTGATCCCTACCTTTTTAATTCTGTTGTGCACAAGAAGTGAAAAATGTCAAGAATGGACTCTCCCAGCAGCAAGGTGGGATGCTTTACACTCACATAATTCCTTATACCAAATGATACCGTGACCCCCTCATCCCGTTTATGCTCACAAACCCTTGCGAGAAAAGCAGTCAGAGAGATCTGTTACCCTCACTTTAAAGTTGTGGAAACTGAGAAAAAACTCACAGCCAAAAGAATAAACAAATAAAGCTCAAGTTTCCTGATATCAAACTCAAGCTGTAAGACATCCTTCGAGTACCCTCAAGTTCATTACTAGACTTTAAAAGCAAATTCAATTTACAAATTACTTTTGTGTTTCTATTGCTCCCACAAGAAAATGCTTAATATTATACAGATCTTTTTTATACATTGAAAAACAATTTCACTGTTTGACTTGAAAACAGTTTATTTAATTTATACAAATAACTACTAAATACAAAAAGTAGATTAAAACAAAATAGTTATTTTTTTTCTGGCAGAGTTTAAATGCACATAATGGATAATTCTGAAGAAAATGCATTTTCCCCACAGCGTTCAGGACTAAAATTCTACTGAAATCTTTGCTTCTAAATCAGTAATATATTCGGTGGTGTCACATGGGTAATGGCTAAATACGTTCTGCATATGAACTGAAAAAAAGTTACAGTCTACACACATACAAATGTGAAGCACTTAAAATGTGAATTTAACTGATAATAAAAGAAAATGTCCATTTCAGAGTATAGTGTCAAAAACATTTCGGTAATAAAATCATAAGACCACATAAAAATAAGCTTTAACATATGCACGAAGCGGTTTTGTAAAAACTGCTAAGTGCACAAGTAATAAATAATTTGCAAAGTTGTGTATAAACAATTCCTAATGTTCGGCATCATTGTAAACATCAGCACATGTGTAAAATGCAGCAAAGTCTGACATTACATTTTGTTTTGCCAAATTGAATTCCTATTATTCAAAGACAGACCAGTGGAGTACGCAGCCAACATTTTGGCAAATTGGGTCTTTAAAATTAAGAGTAACAGTGCAAGTAAGGAATGCAAAGAATTCCTAGTGCAATAAAGAAGAGAAGCACAGGCAATATTGCTGATTAAAAATTCGCCACCTCCTTGAGTTTCCCGTGGGGAGTGTCTAGGAGACTTGTGAAAGATATGCAAAGCCACTGTCTTAATGCCCAGATCTCTTTTAGGATTTCTCTGTGTTCCTCCAGTTCCCTACCTTTGCAACAGTGTCTGTCCAACATTAGTCTCTGCAGTGTGAACAGTTCGTGAAATGCCCGGTTCACAGTCATTGAGCGAGGTTAGGGTGGTTTTGGTGTCTCCCCAACACATGGCTGGGTAAGATGTCTGCCGTAGTGAAGCAGCCATTTGGGGAGGGAGACAGATGGATTCTGTTCTGACAACCAGGCCAGCATTAGGTCCCAGCTGGACAACAACAACATCAAATCTTCCTTCTTGACACCATGAAAATGTCAACAGTCAGTTTTCAATTTGTCTAGGGAATTATCAATTTTGGTCAAAGTCTTTTTGATACGCAGAGCTGTGAGTCTTGCAGATGGATTCTGATACCAGCATTCTTTCATCAGCTTGGCCAGAGAGGTTAATGTCTGAAGAGAGAAAGAACAAATGACACAAGGACTAATTGGCTTTTTGGTGACCCTGGCAGCTGGGCTGATGTAATGTCAATTGTTTTGAAGAACTCTGCAGGTCTTTTGTGGTTGAAGTGATGTTATTGTCATCTTCTCTAAACCAATAATCAAGGCCTTAACCACTGATAAAGAAGCCACTGTTAGAGTTTTATGAACTCTGTCCTTTGGACTCCTGATATTACCAACTTACTTTATCACATAAATGACATAGGCCAGGTTGAACCCCTTGATGATTTTGTGGGTGCTAAAAGCAGTAATACTGACTTAGAGATAATACTGAAATTTCCAAACACGGTCATTTCTCAATGTCTTAAATCTGCTACTACTTATGAGTAGCAATACAGGATCTTCAGCATTGAGGAGCTTGTGTTTGGGATTTCGGATATGCAGAAGTGGAAAGGAAATTAAAAGTATCATTCAGGCCGGGCGCAGTGGCTCATGCCTGTAATCCTAGCACTCTGGGAGGCCGAAGTGGGAGGATTGCTTGAGCTCAGGAGTTCGAGACCAGCCTGAGCAAGAGCGAGACCCCATCTCTACTATAAATAGAAAGAAATTAGCCAAACAACTAAAAATATATATAGAAAAAATTAGCCAGACATGGTGGTGCATGCCTATAGTCCCAGCTGATCGGGAGGCTGAGGCAGGAGGATCGCTTGAGCCCAGGAGTTTGAGGTTGCTGTGAGCTAGGCTGACGCCACGGCACTCTAGCCTGGGCAACAGAGAGAGACTCTGTCTCAAAAAAAAAAAAAAAAGAAGCATCATTCAAAGTCTCCAGGTTTAAACATGACACTGCAGTTCTAGGGCTAGTAGCAGTAATAGTAAGTCTCTGGATTCCTGGAGCTGGTCGATCATAGAAATTTTTTTCTTGTGAATATTGTCATTCATTAGCAAGATCTATCAGATATGGCTTCTGCAAGAAGTACCTGTACCTACTCAACTAGGTCTAAGACCCTGCTACATAAAATAGGAAGAGAAAACACATATGCAGGGCAGATCACTCAGATACCATACCAGGTAAAACTCAAGGGCAAGCAAGTAGCAAACAACTGAAGATTGCTCTAAAACTAAGAAACCAGTGCTCTTACCGGGTCTGAGAACCACCTGTTGGGTATGTTTGGCCTCTGTTGATCCACACAGACTACTTTCCTCATATCTTCAAAACTTGGGTCATTGGGTACCACATCGTAGAATGGTGGCTTGTAATCCTCCACTATACCTGCACACAAATTGTGTTGGGTTAGCAAGAGAGTGGAGGTTCCCCTGAGGTTTTATTGATGAGTGTCACAGATTATAATGTGACAGAAAAAAGGACTAATCACCTTCCTCACACCTCATGGCAGTTCTGGAAGCTACAAGTGGGTCCTAAAATAAGTGGAGAACAAGGCAATAGAAATACACCCTGCTGGGAATTGGAGAAAGAATAACTGTTAGAAGAAAACATGTGAGAACTTCTCAGGTAATCACAATTATTAACAAAATACTCCAATAGTGTATATTAATAGCTCTATAATGCCCAACAGGGGCATTGGAGACCTAGGATAAAAATTCCTTTGGTGATTAAAAAGATACAAGACATCTAAACAGCTCTTCTTGGCGCTGCCTACGGAGGTGGCAGCCATCTCCTATTCGGCATCATGGCCACCCTCAGACCCCTTGTGAAGCCCAAGATCGTCAAAAAGAGGACCAAGAAGTTTACCCGGCACCAGTCAGACAGCTATGTAAAAATCAAGCGTCACTGGCGGAAACCCAGAGGTATTGACAACAGGGTTCAGAGAAGATTCAAGGGCCAGATCTTGATGCTCAACATTGGTTATGGGAGCAACAAGAAAACAAAGCACGTGCTGCCCAGTGCTTTCCGCAAGTTTCTGGTCCACAACGCCAAGGAGCTGGAATGTGCAACAAATCTTACTGCGCAGAGATTGCTCATAATGTTTCCTCCAAGAACCACAAAGCCATTGTGGAAAGAGCCACCCAGTTGGCCATCAGAGTCACCAATCCCAATGCCAGGCTGCACAGTGAAGAAAATGAACAGACAGCGTATGTGTACATTTTGTGTTTAAATAAAACCATAAAAACTGCAAAAAAAAAAAAAAAAAGACATCTAAAGAAAGTACATGAATTAGTGGTTTCAAACTATAAATAGAAATAAAAAGTCATCCACAAACCAGAGCTAGAGACAAATAAATGAATCAAGACTATCATCAAAATACCCCATTTTGTTAAGAAATTGTTTTGTCAAAAAAAAATCACTGGGATAAAAATAATCCCTTCTATTAAGAGGGATGCAAATAATGTAAAATGATTTCCTCATCATTCATTCTATGTATACTGGGTACCCTCTGTCAGACACAGCCCTCTGTTTGATGGCTCCATTATTTACTCTCAGATTGTTGGCACAAAATAAAATGTAGCGGGGACAGCCACTTAGGAAGGCAGAGGAGACTAAAGATGGAGAAACTCTTCCCTTACCTCAAAGCAAATATGAAAGTGGCTAATTTCAGCTTCTATCCCTGCATAATTTCCAATGGCTTGGAAGTCTTTTTAGTTTTTTCTGCAAAATTACATCAATTCCTTATTTTAAATAAAAAAATTTAAAACGTCATCATTTGGAATTAGAAAACTGATTCTTCCCCTTATAGAGATAAAACCAAGATATCTATGATTTCCTTTCTCTCTTCAAAGTCTTTACCAATGAGGTCAGTAGATAACTTGGTTTAGTGCCCTCTTTCCTTCCTCCACATAACTTTCTTCTATTCCTAAATACCTAAGAGGTTGGTAGGGGAGACAGAGGATGTGAGAAAAATTATCATTTAAAAGTTTTTCTAGTTCCTACAAGCCACCCGAAAAGCTTTTCTTTTGTCATAGAAATTACTTAACAGAGGAAATCCATTCTCCCAAATCCCATATAAATACAAACCATTTCTGCAAAGATTAAATATGATAAGGTGCATCTGTTCAAGAAATACTACAGATTTTTTTAAAACTTCACAAATTAAATAAGAGTTTATTTTAAAAATGGAAAGTGGTCTATATTTTTAAAATTTCTAGTTAACATTCTTTCTTAATTCTAAATAACTTATCTACATTGTGTAACTGCATTTGTAATGTGTATCAGTCAATGGATTAAACCTTTCCTGGCAAATCATACACAGCACAGATTGGGCATAAACGGCTGCTTTCAGAAGACTTGGAACACCTTATCACAGAGGTCCTACCTACTTCTCTTGTAAGGATCCCAGAAAGCATTCAAACAAAAATATTTTAGTTCTTTTCAGTACTAACAGACAACACCTAAAACACAACTGAACGTGGACGTAGAGAGGTGACTTATACCTTTTCTGAGGGCCAAAGCAATTTATAGAAAACAGTAAGAGATGTGCCCTTCGCTATCTCTTAATTTTTCTGAGAGAGAACACATTTAATAGCATGGCTTAATTGTTAAAAAAAAAAAAAAATCTAGGCTAACAGCCAGCTATTTGGGGTAATTTGCCTGTTGAGCTTGAGAAGGGTTATGTGAATTTGAACAGTAATACAAAGTTGGATTTTTCTATACATGCAAAAGAAAATAAAGCATGGGCTAGATTTTCAAAACATGGGTCTGGTGACACCCAACAATGAATTTCACTACATGAGCTGAAGTTTTCCCTTGTTTCTATTTCCTGTATTTTAATCTTATTAAATGCCCCCGTGTTTTAACAAAAGCAGTCAAGTTTTACTTTTTTTTTTTTTTTTGAGACAGAGTCTGTCTCACTGTGTTGCCCGGGCTAGAGTGCCGTGGCAATCTCAAACTCCTGGGCTCAAGCAATCCTCCTGCCTCAGCCTCCCGAGTAGTTGAGACTACAGGCATGCACCGCCATGCCCGGCTAATTTTTTCTATGTATTTTTAGTTGTCCGATTAATTTCTTTCTATTTTTAGTAGAGACGGGGTCTCGCTCTTGCTCAGGCTGGTCTCAAACTCCTGAACTCAAACAATCCGCCCGCCTCGGCCTCCCAGAGTGCTAGGATTACAGGCGTGAGCCACTGCGCCCGGCCAGGTTTTATTTTTTTTTTAAAAAAAGACCATTTAACTGATTATGCCTGGGACTTAGGCAAGCCTTTCTTTCTTCAACTATTGGCCAAGTATTGACTGTTTGCATCTGACACTGGCTATGCTTCTCCAAAATAAAATAAAGCTGGGACTAAACTCCAGCAGTCACTTGGATCGCCCTCTGATCAAGGAAAGCATTATTTCAATCAGTCAAATGTACATTATGCAACGACTATGTAAAAAATGCATATTAAATGTCAAGGGTGATAACAGTGTAAGACATGCTCTTGTTTTTCAAGGAAATCAAAATCTAGTGGAAGATCAGAAAAAGTCCCTCTCTTTTTTCCTTCAATAATGGAAATCTTGTCAACAAGAATCTCAAAATTTTTTCACCCCACCCTTTATATTTTGAAAGGCAAAAGTAGATTAGAAATTCCCATTCCGATTTCACTTGTTAGCTCCTAAGTTGACTCCATAACCATTTTGATTCCTTCAACTGTGTGTGCCTGAGATCGTGCCTGGCGGAAGGGATACAAAAATGAAAAAGACGTGGTGCCGGTGACGAGGAGTGGAATAATAGAAAAAATATTACGGACTAACATTAGAGGTAGGAGCCAGGAGAAGAGGGTGAATGAGATAGTGGTACTTAGCAGGGCTCAAGGAGGATCACCTGTGTGGCTTACCGAGCACCATGGATAAACGGTGCCATGGAAGCACAAAGCAGCTTTCCAGGAAGGAACTAGGGCCTGGGCAGACACAGAAAGACAAGGAGTTTACAAAGCACAAATGAGGACAAGGAAGAGAAAATACCAAGGAGACAGTGTAGTCCAGGCAGAGGGAGGGCAAAGACAAGAACTTACAAACAATCCTCAGACAGTGGAGCAATGGGGGGACGCTCCTTGTGGCTGACACAGGGCACACAGGGTAGCAGGAGAGTGGGAGGAGAAGCAGGGGCGGGTGGCAGAGGAGGCTAGCCTGTCAAGTGACATGTGCTGTCAAGGTAGGGAGTGACTGACTTACAACTGTGCCTCATTTCTGCCAGAAAGTGACAAACAATCAGGGTAGCCAGGCAAAAAAAGTGAACCCTGAGTCCTTTAAAGGCAGCACCCAATGAGCAGCGAGCTGCCGAATCGTGAGCCTGCACGGACGACAGCATGAATTCGGGAAAGTAACTAAAAATACAAAGTACTTCAAGTGCCAAATGAGTGGTACAAACAACAAATGATACAGGAATGCAGGGGAAGAGGAGCTCTTAAATAGTGGTCAAGGAAGGAACAGACTGAGCCAGGCCTTGCCTTCCTATATAAGGCGGCTGGTGTGACTCAAAGGGACCACAGGAAAGGAATCAGAAACATTATTCATAACCTACTCCCCCACAACTTTTTGGCATGTGCATCTGATTTATGCAATTGTTTTTTTTCCTGGGCATATGTCTAATTGAAAGTTTTCTCTTCTTTGGGGCAAGCCTATCTTTACCAACCAATATCTGCTATTAATTTGCTATATGGCTCTGAGTAAACCCCTCAGCAGCCAGGCCTTGGTTTTCCACCACCTTTAAAGCACACATCACAAAGCTAACATGCAGATAAACAAGGATGCCCTAGAAAGTGCTTTGAAAAGCATGTCTCTATACAATGCAAACATCCAGAAATAAGTCCTTCCTGCAGGGCTTGCCCACAGAGGCCTTGGACCAGACACTCACCTTTTGCCCCCTTGACAGCTACATGTGGGACCTGCTTCAGTCCTCCCCTGCCAACCCTCCACCATATCCCACTGCTTCCAGCAAGATCTTTAGGAGAAAACTGAGGGAACAGCTCGTGTGCCCCTCCTCTGCATGTGTTCCCTCAGTGCTGTCCATGCAGCGAGCTCCCTCCCCGCCACTGTCCTTACATACCTGGGCATCGCCCATACCTCGATTACTTGCGGTTCTGTTAATAGGGTACACCTTTATGACCTCCCTCGGCTCTTCCTTCTGTCTGGCAGAGCAACCGTCATCACTATCTGCTTTTACCTCACATCCCCCTAACCTCGTCCAACTGAGCTCTTATTCAACTTGTTTATGATTCAGTTCATGCTTCTTGTTCACTGAGAACACCCTCCCCATGCTACCACAGCACCAGGGCCTGGACAAAGCTCAGTGCCCACCCTACACTCAGTCACCTCCCTGTATACCTCAGCCATAGTGGCTTCATCTATTGATTTATGATAACTTGACCCTGCAATGAAAATGTGAACACTTTTGAATTGGATTTTTTTTCCTCAACTTCTTCCCCAGCCTAACACAATATCTAGAATTACAGACACAAAATATATATTAGTCAAGTGAGTGTTGATTTTATATATATACACATATATATACAAAAATACACACACACACACACACACACACACACACACACACACATATTCACAATCCTTTATCCAGAATTGTTGGAAGCTAGATGAGTTTGCAGAATTTGGAATTTTTACATTTTGTAAAGGTAACAGGAGGCATACCCTGTGATACCACCAGCAGAGTTCGAGGAGCACCCCATGACCAAATACATTTCTTCAGCAAAATACATGAATAGTCATACTAAATGGAATGAATAAGGGCTATAGATAGATTCATGTTCATTCAGATCAGATTTGACTATCACATGAGATAGGGTCAGGAGTTCTGCCAAATAAGTTCTGAAAACGCTTTTCCGTTTCAAAGCTTTGGGGACTTCTCAGCTGCAGATAAGGAATTGTGGACCCGGCTATACTCTGAATAATCTAAAGGCGAGGTGAAGAAGCATTGATGAGATGTGAGAGCCATGTGGATCATAACTTTCTTTTCCTTCAGAAGAAAGGGAGGACCACATTGGAAAAAGCATTTGTTCAAGTTCACGCCCAATTAATGACAAAGTGCAACTGGAATCCAATTGCCTGTTTATATTCTAGCATTCTCTCCCAGAAGCCAACCACGGAATAATGACATGTGCCCTCTCCACAGGAATGTCATGTCACGGCAAGCTCGCTTCTTGTCGCATTGTCTCTCTTCACTACCTTCCAACTTGGGCAGTTACATCTGATATCCAGGGCAAGGACAGAGTCCCCGGCATCTATCTACATGCAGAGAACTACTGTTAATAGTTAACTCCTACAGAAATACTGAAATCCTTCAGAGACTAGAATATTAGAAGTAAAGCCACTTTAGAGAGAAAAAAAATAGAATGGTTCATATTTGGCTTCTGAGAGGACTGTACGTTAATATAGTGTTTCCTTCAGGGGCGGCATATGAGAAAATGTGATGTGGTTCATGGACAAAATTTTTTCACCTCAATTGCACATTTATTTTCATAGTTACCTTCCATTTTATGCCATGTGATACTGGTTTTCCATTGCCAGCAGTGATATTAATTCCCTTTCAAAACAAAATTAAGTTTGAAAAGAATTAGCCAGTTTGAAGAAAAAGAATATGTGAATAATGGTGTAGGTAGCATTTGCCTATGGAAAAAATCATGAAGGTATCATACACTTGAATGAATCTTGAGAAACACTGAGTTTACAGAGAGGCATTCTCCCTGGTAAGACAGGATTCAAAAAGGTGTGTCTAATATTTGTGTTAATTCACCTAACATACCTACGAGAGGACTTCAGAGTATTTTTCATGCCATGGCACACATGAAAAATGACTTACAGATAAATGAGGCTGTTCATGGCAGAGGGGATGACAGCCCAGAGAGTTCTGGCTCCCTGGCCCTGCCTCCCTGCCAGAGGGTTAAGAGAGTCGGTACTTCAGGCATTCCCGTCATCCGCGGCAGGTACTCCTTTCTGAAAGCAGGAGTTGGAAGGACAGCCCTGTCCCCTACTAGGTAAAGAACATGCTGTGACAGCTGTGTCCTCACACTTCCCCCTCTGCTGCCATTCATGGGCATATGGAACCATGCACGTTACTCAAAGTCAAAACTAAGTACATTCTCGGGAATCTATGCTAAAATTATGTTCTATTACTGGGATTCTCATCGATGTAACACAGCAAAAGTAAATGGTTTATATAGATTACTGTGTAGTTGGGTCCTACTAAAAATATTTGTCGATATCACCGTAAGTTTTCAGAGGAGAAGGCAAGAAGCCTAGGAGAGATGCATGGCCATTCTCTGAGTTAAACTATGAACAACACGCCTTACAGCTTGCATACCACCAAATCCTAGACAGGGAGAAGCACAAGAGTTCCAAACATGGTAGTTATGAAGGAAGCCTCTTGAGAAGGTGGTTCCATTTGCTGAATGCTGGGGTTGTTATAAGGTTTAAGACACTGATACTTGTCTTGGTGGAGGATTGCTTAGAAGTATGTCAAGGAAAAGAGACTACTTGTCAATAAACAGCAGCCCATAAAGTTCTATGGGCTTCAGGTTATTTTGTCATGAGGTCAGCTGACTACCCTCCTCTGTTCTGGATCTCTAAATCAGGGACATGGAATTCCAGGAAATCAAGGTGGAAAAATTGTTCCCTCCTACCCCACCTCCATATTCCTGCCCCCCAGTCACTTATCTAAAGGCTAAAACAAACAAACTAATTAAAATCACTTTAATGAATATGAAAAATTTTCCCAGATATGATTCATCCTTTCAGTCAAACCTTAATATACACTAAAGCAGTGAATTAAAATCATGAGACATATTGGATATTAAGTTGCTGAAGAAAATAAGAGTTGTCATGGTTTCCATACACAAGCCCATTGTGCTTAGGAACAGGAGCACACGCAGTTCCCTGGCTAGTTCAAGGATTAATTACAAGAGGTTTTTCCAAAGTACGTGAGCCAAACATAAGCTTCTTCTAACAAGTGTTTCCTAGTCCTTACCCCATAAGAGGTGCATGCTGTCCAGCAAGGATTTTTCTATGAGATGGTTTTTAACACATTTTCACACTAGATGCCATCACAAAATATTCAGAGCCAGTAACAATGAAATAAGAGTGTGTCCATGGAGCCTTTCTGTGGTCAGTGAAAAGGGGAAACAAATGTGGTACAAGGACCAAGTGGCAGCACAACAAAAGGCGGGACATGGCAACCGAGATCTGCCAGCGCCTGGGTGGCCTTCCCCACCCATTCCCAATGGAAGGCAACAATACCAAAGCACTTACTATAAGCTTGATGCACACTAGATGCTTTACATACATGAACTCATTTAATTACCATAACCCTTTAAAATGGATACTATTATCATCCATATTTTTTTCAATAATGACACTGATGTAAGTGATCGAGTCAGAGTATGACATCAGAGCCTGGAATGTTACCAATTCCACCTCACTGCTTCCATGGACCCAGAAGCACCACACATCTCTGGAGGGCACTATTCACACAGGCTTCTTCTGTGTGCAGTGCAAGGGCCCTGGGAGAACCATGGCAAGGGAAGACAGAAGCACATCACAGTAAGCTGTCTTCTACAGGTGTTTGCCTACAGAATCTGCGTACACTGCCTTTTCCAAAATCCTGGTGTCTATTTGAATGGGAGCCCTAACATCACATGTTCTAACCACAGAACTACTAAGTAAGAAATTCAGGGGCTGAGGTCCAGCACTCAATGTCTCAACAAGCACCCTAGGTGATTCTGATGTGTGCTCTGGTTTAAGAACTATCGATCCACACGAACCCCTGCCTTAAGTTCATATAGAAAATTCACACAAGAAACGTGAGAAAACCATTTTCTTTCCTAGCAATTCTAAATTCAGTGTCGAATTAAACGCCAAAAGTAAATTCCAAAAGATACTACGGAGAAATTTTCAGATATGAAAATGGACTTAACTCTCATTTCCTGTACAGAAACAGCATGAGGTTTATTGTAAGTGGCAAATAAATGTAAAATTCCAATAAAATATAAAATGTAACATATTTTTATGCTTACGGTTCACTTGAGAATCGTATTGCTCCAAAAGAACTATTTGGTCATCAATTTTTATAATGGACTCAGAAACTCAAAGGATACATAATTATAATGACCTTCTTAATATAAGATATTCATATATTTAAATGAGGTACATTTTATATGCAATAATTTCAAAAATATGTATTCTTTTAATGACAGTTCCTAAAGCTGGTAAGAAAGTGAAATAGGTACATCACACCCTGGGGTAAAGAGGATGCTGTAAATTAGTACAACTCTTATGAAAAGCAACTTGACAATATGTGTCAAGCCATAAAAATGTCCCATACTCTTTGACCTATTAAATCTACTTCTTTTCCGATTAAAAATCAATTCCCCAAATGAAATCGTTATATGCACAAAAATCTTACTATAGGCCACAAATGGAGAATACAGGATGTCTAAAAGTATGAAAATGGCTGAGTTACTAACATATCATGTGACCATTTAAAATAAAAACAGAGACTATTAAACAACATTAAAACACACACAAAAAAGTGAAAAAGATGATACAGAATTGTATCTATATTATGAATACAACAGAATTTTCAAAATGGATGCATAGAGGAGTAAAAAAAAAATGAATGTGGGAATTTGAAGGCAAAATTTCTCTTATTTTTCTTTCTACTAATTTTTTTTCTGTTTTAGGGGACTAATAATTAAATATTAGTATTAGTAAAATAGGTTTGCAAGCAGCACTGGACACTTTCAAGTTTAGATAAACTGATTTGTGGGTGGGCATGCATGTGAGTGTTCATAGAAGAGGGACTAGAGAAAGAAAAGGGGAAAATATCAAATTAGTCATTGCCAAAGGACAGTAGCAGATTTAAAATGAGACATGAGATACCCTTGCTAAAAATCAAACCACATCACAGAACAGAAGCTCGACCCACAAAATTTTAGGAACTAGCTAACACTCTGAATGATGATGCAAGGGAGAGATCAATAAATCAAAAAAACGACCAAAACATTCTCCCTTCCTCTGCCCTCCGTGATTTCTTGTTTTCAAAAATAATGTTAAATACAGGAACTAGCAAGCAAGCTACCATTTGTTGAGGTAAATTTTAAACTGATGACTCTAACTTCAAACTGACTGCTATTAATCATAGCTGATCTTTAAAAGCCATTTGGGTATATGCCTGCAGCACAGGGAGCGGGTTTGCAACATGAGTTCTTACAAAGCCCAAATCCCAAGTTTCTGCTCCACAGGCCTGCTTGGCTCTGCTCCGGCCCACCCACAGCTGGAAACGCTACCGTCCTGGCTGTGCAATGCCAACTTCTTCTTCATCTGGGGCAGGTTCCCCATGACAGTTCATTCTGACTCCAGGCCTTCTCTAACTCGTCTGTTGAGATAAACTAATCAGAATTAGATAGATTGATAGATAGATATATTTTTTTTTTTCAGTTCGAAGGTGCTCAAGAATGATTGGGGAGGGGATGAGGAAATGAAGTCACTGTGTAATTTCAGGCAAAGTTCAGAACTTTATAAAACAGCAAAACAATCTCTGTTGCAAACAATTCTCAAGGGGCTTCAAGGGCACAAACTGCAAGGCAGTAGCTCCCAACGATTGAGAAACAATTACCAAGAAAATGTTCATGACTCCATTTAAAAAAAAAAAAAAAACTTTAAAAGAACTGTCAAGTTACAATCCATGCATGTTTAATCTGAAACACTTGCTTTGATACCCTCGAAGGATTTATTCAGGGCACACATGTTCTGCAGTTAGGGGAAAAGCTACCATAGAAGCACACCAATTTTAATTATTGTACACTAAAACTATATTAAATTACCCCAATTCTACCTCCCTCACAAAACCTCCTAATCTCTGGCTGTGTTATTCACGAAAATTATGATTGCCTCACAAATCCTTTGGATTTGGAAGGTGGCATAGAGCACAGATGTTAGAAACTTCATGTGTTATCTCTTTAATACTTCAAATCCAGGATTCCAAAGGGTCACAGGAGGGTAAAGTGAAAAGCATCTTTTGGAAATGAACAATAATCTAAATATATGGCACTTTCTTCTGTTTTCCTGGAACGATTTCAGACACATGCTCTGTGAAATAAGATTTTCAGTTGTGAAGCTATGAAGAGGTTCATCTAGTTGAGTCAAAGGATTCTGCTAAAAAAACCACTTTGTGGGTAGTTGGGGCATACCCAATTTGAAAGAGTATACTTAGTGCTTTCAGAGTACAATGTACTTAAAGTAAAGTTCAACAATGT